AGCCAGGACCTTGACACCAACGTTAGTCGGGTGCTGCTGAAGACCTTATACTAAGCTGTGGATGTCTCTTGGTATTGATTGTCGACTGACGACATCAAATTAACCTGAAGATGTCTCTTGGTGTTTAACCCTGCCACATTATTTATTAGTCTGTCCCAAGCAGGGACATTGAAACCAACGATTGTAGGATGCTGATGACCTCACACTAACCTTTAGATGTCTCTTCGTGTTGCTTTTCGACTGACGACCTCAAACTAACCTGTAGATGTCTCTTGGTGTTGCTTGTCGACTGACGACATCAAATTACCTGTAGATGTCTCTTGATGTTGCTTGTCGACTGACGACCTCAAACTAAACTGTAGATGTCTCTTGGTGTTGCTTGTTGACTGACGACCTCAAACTAACCTGTAGATGTCTCTTGGTGTTGCTTGTCGACTGACGACCTCAAACTAACCTGTAGATGTCTCTTGGTGTTGCTTGTCGACTGACGACATCAAATTACCTGTAGATGTCTCTTGGTGTTGCTTGTCGACTGACGACCGCAAACTAACCTGTAGATGTCTCTTGGTGTTACTTGTCCTTATACTAACCTGTAGATGAATCCTGGTGTTGCTTGTCGGCTGGCGAATTAGACTAACCTGTAGAGAGATCAAATGACACAGACATTAACAACTATAGGTCACCGTACGGCCTTCAATAATCAGCGAAGCCCATACCACATAGTCAGCTATAAAAGGCCCCAAAATGACAAATGTATAACAATTCAAACAAGGAAACTAACAGCCTAATTCATGTACAAAATAATGAACGAAAACAAATATGATATACAGCAACACACTACAACCACTGTATTACAGGCTCCTGACTTGAGACAGGCACATACAAACAGAATGTGGCGGGGTAAACATGTTAGCGGGCGCCCAACCCTCCCCTAACCTGTGACAGTGGTGTAACAGTAAAACATATGAACAAACTATAAAAATCAGTTGAAAAGGGCTGAACTCATCAAATAGATACAAAGCACAAAAACAAGTAACAAACACACAGAGTGGACGTGGCAGAGTACTCATACACCCCCAAAACAAAAAGACAATAAGTACAGATCTGAGAGTACTAGCAGTTACTGACAGCTAGTTCAAAGATAAAAACAACTAATACAAAACAAGAGGCTGTCAGAGTGACAGCAAACTGGATTTTTTAACATTTATTTGTGTCCTGGCATTTTTCAATAGCACAAGAACCATAACTGCTGAACGGTAAAAGTGACAATCATCAATATTGAGCTTGACCTCCATTTTGTCATCTGCTACAACATATTAAAATTTGAAAAGCTTTGGTTGAACGGTTCATGAGTTAAAGCACGGACACGACTGGAAACACCATTTTTCAATCTTTCAAGAACCATAACTCCTGAACGGTGAATTTGAAATCGTTAGAACTGTACTTGACCTCCATTTGTCATCAGTAACAACATATTAAAATTTGAAAAGCTTTGGTTGAACGGTTCATGAGTTAATGCACGGACACTGTTTGGCAGCCGCCCGCCCGCCCGCCCGCCCGCCCGCCCGCCGTACATCCCCAAATCAATGACCGATTTTTCCTTTGGAAATCCAGTTAAAAATCATGCATCTAAGACTAAAATATCAAGCAGTACACATCCAACATCCAATGGATTTTTGTAAAGACGTCATAAACAGTCAGAGAAAAACATGACCTTGTGCAATGCCAAGATACAGGTATCGACAGATTGTAGAGCCATGAATATCCATATGTCTATAAAAATAATATTTAGTTTGATTTTAATTTACTGATAACAAAGTCAATATTAATACCAATAAAAAACAATATTCAAAGATCTAATAACAGTGTTGAATTGGTAACCTTTTAGATAAAGTTTATTTAAAGGATTGATAAGTTTACCCGGAACGTTTCTAAATTTCCGGGCTCGGTAAACACCATATCCGTAAAAATTAGAATGTGCTATCCCGTTTGAAATAAGTTTTCATACTGGTACAACCAAATTTCAAAATACTTGTCCTTATGAACTAACCTGTAGATGAATCTTGGTGCTGCTTGTCGACTGACGACCTCAAACTAACCTGTAGATGTCTCTTGATGTTGCTTGTCCTTATACTGACCTGAAGGTGTCTCTTGGTGTTGCTGGTCCACTGACGACATCATACTAACCTGTAGGTGTCTCTTGATGTTGCTTGTCCTTGTAATGACCTGAAGGTGTCTCTAGATGTTGCTGGTCTTTATTCAACCTGTAGATGTCTTTTGGTGTTGCTGGTCTTTTTTCAACCTGTATATGTCTCTAGGTGTTGCTTGTCCACTGACGACATCATACTAACCTGAAGATGTCTCATGGTGTTGATTGTTGACTGACGACCTCAAATTAACCTGTAGATGTCTCTTGATGTTGCTTGTCTTAGTATAACGTGTAGATGTCTCTTGGTGTTGCTTGTCGACTGACGACCTCAAACTAACCTGTAGATGCCTCCTGATGTTGCTAGTCCTTACATACTAACCTGTAGACGTGTATTGATGTTGCTTGTTGACCGACGACCTCATACTAACCTGTAGATGTCTCTTGATGTTGCTTGTTCTTATGCTTACCTGTTGATGTATCTTGATGTTGTTTGTCCGTATACTAACCTGTACATGTATATTGGTGTTAATAGGTTGCTTGTCGGCTGACGACTCCAAACTAACCTGTAGATGTCTCTTGATGTTGCTTATTCTTATGCTTACCTGTTGATGTTTCTTGATGTTGTTTGTCCGTATACTAACCTGTACATGTATCTTGGTGTTAATAGGTTGCTTTTCGGCTGACGACTCCAAACTAACCTGTAGATGTCTCTTGATGTTGCTTGTTCTTATGCTTACCTGTTGATGTATCTTGATGTTGTTTGTCCGTACACTAACCTGTAGATGTATCTTGGTGTTAATATGTTGCTTGTCGGCTGACGACTTCAAACTAACCTATAGATGTCTCTTGATGTTGCTTGTCGACTGACGATAATACGACTATAATCCAAGAAGTCTTTAAAGAAAGACTAGATTTGTTTTATTAACTGAATGATTTACTTCAGATGATGCTTTTTATTTTTGTTATTAAGAAACGACACATTAATCAAAATAATTTAATAAATTAACTAAATCAATCTTATTTAACTCTACCGTCACATCAATCCGGTAAAATATATTCTGCAAAGTAGTGAAATGCACATTAGATCCGTGGCTTTGACTTTGCACTAAAATACTTCATACAATTTTTTGAAATATTTTATCGACAATGAAATTTACTCATCTTGAAGAACTGTTCACTTATACTTTAAAACGACGATAAATCTTGACAAAATACATTTTATTTTTGGACTTCGTTTTTCGTTTTAAATATCTTCTTTTTCTAACATCTATTGATGAGTTTCAGCTAATAGAAGTACACTGTTGTAAATCTTCCTGGTCTATACTTTGTTTGTTTTCACCATCTGTTGACGAATATATTGTAAAATCCAGAATTGTATTAGCAAACCCATAATCTTATTGTGAAACCAAGAATCATTGTACTGCATGTTTTCCTGGTCTCGATCGTATATCTATTCATTGCCAGTTGCTAGTCACGTATAACTAATCCAAATTTTACATGTTAAAGAAGAAAGAATACAGTGAAAGACTTTTTCGTGTCATACAGCAACAATAAAAAGATGTATGGTTGTCAATTTTTTTTAGGTCCCAATCATGAATTGTTGAAACGATAAGACGTATCTGCGTCTCATCTAACAAGCGACATTTCATTCTTAGATCTTTCGATACAAAAATAAGAAGTCGTCTGATCTGTAAATTGCAGATTGTGTTCTTTACCCTATTTTGTCATTTTGACTGAGTGTGGATTATCAAGGCTGATGAATGTAAAGCAAGAGACACTAACCCTGTCGACGTGAGCAGCTGTCTTAAGGCTAATGATGCATACATAACAAGAGACACTTACCCTGTTGACGTACCCGGTCTCACTTCTTTAATAGTTCTCAAGGCTGATGATGCATATATAGTAAGAGACACTTACCCTGTTGACGTACCCGGTCTCAATCATTTTGTAGTTCTGAAGGCTGATGATGTATAAATAGCAAGAGACACTTATCCTGTTGACGTACCCGGTCTCACTTCTTTTGTAGTTCTCAATGCTGATGATGTATACATAGCAAGAGACACCTACCCTGTTGACGTACCCGGTCTCACTTCTTTTGTAGTTCTCAAGGCTGATGATGTATGCATAGAAAGAGACACTTACCCTGTCGACGTACCCGGTCTCAATCATTTTGTAGTTCTCAAGGCTGATGATGTATGCATAGCAAGAGACACTTACCCTGTCGACGTACCCGGTCTCAATCATTTTTTTTTTTGTGTTTTCTTCAGTTTGTACTCTTGAGTTGTATATAATAAATGAATTCACGAAATTTGAAATCGTTAATACTGCTTCGAATGTATGCTTAAATATGAAATAAGGGGGATAAAAGATTAATTTGGAACGATAAACATATATAAAGGCTTTACTCATATCTTATTTCTTATTTGTGCTAAAAGTGGCGTTAAACACCAATCAATCAATTAGTCTATCTTATTTGCATTTTTTATATTGTTTTGAGCATTCATCAGGTAGTTGTTTTTTTAAATGTTCGTTTAAGATATAATTCTTTAGTGTATCCAACGATAAACACGTATCCAAAACGTATTGAACGTTTAATCAATTAAATGGTAATTTTATTTTACTATACTTTTGTTATGTTTATCTCAATAACAGAAGACTTTTACCCCCTACAGTTTTGTCTATCCCAAGCTTTTGAAAATCAATACATTTGTCTTGTCGTTTACATGGATTGATTGTTGTCAATCCGGACATAATGGGTTTATTATATGCCTGGCTGAATTCATGTACTTTCTTAAATGATTTTTTTTATATTTTTAAATTATTTTTGTGCAGCGATAACTAAATATAAATCTTTACATGTACATATAAAAGAACATTGATTTTGAGAGCACAGCATACTGAGTGTTGATAGATAACCATGCACAAACTAATGCTATTCTGCCTTGTCTGTTTCTGTCTTGCTACGATCTGTCATGGTAAGTCATTCGTTATAGCATATGTTTCTGTCTTGTTACGATCTGTCAAGGTAATTCATTCGTTATAACAATAAGCTTTTAATTATATTGAACTTCTAAAGATGACAGCAAGAATTGTCTAATGATATATTTGTTATATTATATACTAGTAATACTTTATTGAATTAAGTGCTTTGGCTTCTGACATTTCAGGATTTATTTGTTGTTTGCATTATTTTCTTTTTTATACTGTTGAAACTCGTGCTTCCGAAGTATAAGGGGGCGGGCGCATGACCACCATGACATCGTACGAACGCCCTTTTTTGACTATCGAGCAGCTAACATGTTGCGGCCTTCGAGTATCTGGTTAAAATATTTATCTTAGGTCGGAAACAATGTGGTCGGAAAGCAGAAAGATAATTAAACAAAAAGATTTTTCTGTAAACAAAAATCTAATTTCATTAATAGATACTACCTGACTAAGAGAATGTTAAGTGTTGTGTTTAGACTGAGACTGAATTTATTCTTAATAGAACATAATTAAAATTGTAATTTATTATTCGTGCATTATCATGTCTCACAGATTTGAACAGTCATATTACATTTATGAAAATTATTTGTAATGTATGAGCACCAATGAACAGGGATGCGTACCCAAAGATAGCTAAATATTCTTATTTAAACGGTCGTGAATAAAAAATACGTTTCAAATCACATGCATTTTAAATTCTTGCATCTCACAAAAAACGTAATTATTATTTTACAATAATTATAACAAAATTAATAACTATCATAATGTTAATTGTTTTATACTGTTTGAGTGTATTTTTAACTCTTTGCTTATATTTTGTATAGCAGTATTTGTCATTTCGGGGCCTTTTATAGCTGACTATGCGGTATGGGCTTTGCTTTTTGTTGAAGGCCCTACGGTGACTTATAGTTGTTAGATTCTGTCTATTTGGTCTCTTGTGGAGAGTTGTCTCATTGGCAATCATACCACATCTTTTTTATATTTAAAAAGAGATTCATTTGATAAATACAATGTCCATCACTAAATACTCGACATTTGTGTTTATTGATATTATATTCTAATTTTTTGGAAAAAGCTCACCTGCAGGAATGTATGTTTATTATACAATTTCAATTCTTTTTGTTTGTTTGTTTGTTTTAATGGTTCAACCTAATAGCATATAAATATGTGTACTATGGTACATTTTTTTAGTTAGAGCCGATGAAGTTTTCCATAATTTGATATAATTTGTCCCAAAAGTAGTACACTGTAAACATATTATTGAGAAAGCGCAGGTGGGATTTTTTTTATTTTCATTTATTGTCTAAAATAAATGCACTACGAAATAACTGTGTACTCGGACCATATGCAAAAGGGTTATGAAAAAATTATGGATATTCCCAGGTAATAAATGGAATAGCCGAGCTTTAAAATTTTTATTCAAATAATAGCTGTAAATATACACTTGTTTATTCTCAACTATCGAGCATTGCTTTCAACTGACGTGCGCAAGAATGTACACACAACTACATAGGTTAAATAAAGGTAGTTTAGCATCACCATTATCTTCTTATATTCACAGTCAATTATTTCATTTCAAAAGCAAACAAAAAATCAGCAACAATCTTTTGGTGACCAGCGATCTTGGGTTCACGTATTGCTTTTCTTTATTTAAAGAAAGCAACCTGTTTTTAAATTTTTCAGTAATTATAGATTTTTTAAATTTCTTTTTAACGTCATGAAATTTTTAAGCATAAGTTTGTACACGGTACTAGTTTTACTGCACCAGATGCGCATTTGACTATTAAAGTCTCTTCAGTAATGTTCGAGGACAAAATATTTGAAAATCCCAAACATAATACAAACGTTGAAAAGCTGATCAAACAAAAAGGACCTAGAGCCCTTATGTAAACATAAACCATCTATGAGATGGTATAATGTCATGTAATATCTGGCATAATGTCTTGTAATATCAGGCATAATGTCATGTAATATCAGGCATAATGTCATGTAATATCAGGCATAATGTCTTGTAATATCAGGCATAATGTCATGTAATATCAGGCATAATGTCATGTAATATCAGGTATAATTGTAACAGTAAATTTGGTCCGGTAGTAAAATGTGTCCGCCAGACTTTTTTTCCTAGTTAATCAAGTCCATGACCATTATTTTACTAGGAATGTAAGTCCCAGGACAAATTTTCCAAGGAAAATAAGTCCATAGCTAGTAAAATATGTCTGGCACTTATTTTCCTAGGAAAAAATGTCCTAAGACTTGTTTTTCTAGTAAATTTTATTATATTATAAAAATTATTTAATATAAAAAAAAAAACATATTTTCTTAGTTAAGATTGGAAAGTTTCAATTTTTTTTTTCCTTTTAAAATAAAGGACATGGACGTTTTTACCTAGGAATTTTAATGACATGGACATGATTTCCTAGGAAAATTAGTCGGGGGACATAAGTTTTATTAAAAAAATTGATACACATCTTTTAAACAATATTAAAACATAACATCTACATTTGTATATCTACCTTTTAAAATAAAGGGCATGAATGCGTTTACCTAGGAATATTAATGAACATGATTCTTAGGAAAATTAGTCTGGGACATACATTTTATTAAAAAATATAAATACACAACTCTTAAATAATATTAAAACATAAAATTTAAATTTCTATTGTTTAAATGTAAATGATTTGATTCATTAAAATATTTTTCCTATAAAAAAAAAGGACATGGACGTTTTTACCTAGGAATATTAATGACATGGACTTGAATTCCTAGGAAAATTACTAACATCGGACTAAAAATACTAGTAAATTCTGTAACCATGGACTTTTTATACTAGCAATATGTGTCCGCCCAGACATATTTTACCAGGACAAATTTATCTCCTACATAATGTCATGTATAATCAGATATAATGTCATGTAATATTAGATATAATGTCATGTAATATCAGGTATAATGTTATACAATTATTGACTTTTGATGAGGTTGATACAATGATTTATCAACCCCAGAGATATGACATTCACCCTCAGCCAACAATGATTTATCAACCCAGAGATATGATATTCACCGAGGCCAAAGGCCGAGGGTGAATGTCATATCTCTGGGGTTGATAAATCATTGTATCAACTTAAATCAAAAGTCAACAAATGTTGTATTATATGACTTTTATCATTTTCCAATTTTCTAGTATTTGATCAAGATACTTTTAAAACTGCTCCTTGTAGTTGCTAATTTTCATAAACTGAAATATTTTAGCCAATGAGAAAACAGATAATTTATAGTCATATGATAACATGTAATATCAAGTATAATGTCATGTAATATCAGATATAATGTCATGTATTATCAGGTATAATGTCATGTAATATCATGTATAATGTCTTGTAATATCAAGTATAATACCATGTTTATCAGGTATAATGTCATGTATTATCAGGTATAATGTCATGTAATGTCAGGTATAATGTCATGTAATATCAGGTAAAATGTCATGTAATATCAGGTATAATGTCATGTGATATCAGGTATAATGTCATGTAATGTCAGGTATAATGTCATGTAATATCAGGTATAATGTCATGTAATATCAGGTATAATGTCATGTAATATCAGGTATAACAAACCTCGAGAAAATGACACGATCACTGTCTTATCTAAATAATTTGGCAGTAAAAAAGCCTTATCTATAATTGTCTTCTATTTACCCTTCTTATTGATTTATCAATTATTGCTGTCTTAACGTCTATTGGGGGTGAATATGGAAAGGAATACCCTTGCATTAGAAGTACTCAAATAATGATCTTGTCCAACTGGACGAAAATGATATTTCTGTCAAACGAAATGCAGTAAAGAATTGTGTACCAAATTAAAAAAAAAAGATTATCCGACCTAGCAATTAACATTTCGCCCAAATCCCCCTCCCCTACCCGAAAATCGAGCGTCAATTTAATGAGTGATGTAATATATTCTTTATTTGTAGCCATGACTGACAATGCAGATATAAGAAGCGACGAAATTTTGAGGTATGTTTCACTTTTTTTTCATCAATTATAAAGCTGACAGAAATAATATAATTAACACTTAACCATTTACATGTATACACATGTATATATAATTGATTTATTGTCAATTGTTTTGTACTAGAAACATGTATAACATAAAATAATATTATATAATTTTATTAAGTACTGGGAGATGCTATAAAACTGAATCTGGCCTCTATTGAAGGTTTCTTTAGCTCGAAAAATGAATTAGTTATGTCTCAATTTGAACAGAATCAATAAGCTTGAGTTCAGGAGCGGTTCAGACAGGTGATGGGAGAGGGGGATGGAAGGGGCGAACCCTTAAAATATAATAGATTGTGATGATGTGAGGAAAACTGTAAAATAACTACAATTTATATATTTTATTATTTTTTATTTACACAATGTAAGTGTGTTCATTGCAGTTTTAACTTATATTTGTTGACTTGTGAGTGATAAGTTGTACTTCAAACGTTACATAATTAGATTTAAATCTGTAATTTTGTTGTTGATAACTGAAGGCATACGAATAAAGACATAAAAAAAAACAAACAAACACACACGCAAACAAATACACAAACATGACAAAATAAAAAAACGAGCACAGAAAAAAAAACACTATTTTAATCCAGCATTCAGTACTCGTACAACTTGTATATTTTCAGTCGTGACAAAAGAGCGAGACCTAGATGTAGACGTAATAAAAGATGTGTTACTACCAGAAACTGTTGTAATTATAGACAATATTGTAGCGGAGGACGATGTAAGACCAGAAATTTGGACATTTTGTAGAGGCAGGGCATGGCTTGTTCGTGTTCCCTACAAATAGAACCTCGCCATAATTTCAAGTCTGGTGGATCCGTTGTTTCACGAACATGTCTTGCATAACTCTTTGATTATATATTAAAAATTTCAACCGTTTGTTATTCAAATTAATTTAAAAGCTATATTGTTATACGTCTGCTACAAATATTTTTGAATTATAAACTCACTTATTTTACACGACGGTTGCTAACTGCTGACCTTTGAGGTCCCCATGGGTGACTAGGGAATAGAAATATGGTCTGCTATGTCTTCTACCCTCCGGCAGTAAATTATTTGCCAAAGCGGGGCGTCCGTTTGGCTGAGCGAGGTGTATAAGTACGCAACCACATCCGGTCAGTATATGGACGTTAAATCCGACGCATCGTGAAGAGAGAGTGTGGCCCTTGCCTTTGAGGGATCGTAGATGGCCTGTTGCAAGACAAAACGTCTGTCCCGATCCCATATAGCCTCATTTTCTAGTGGCAGTTCGAATTTTCCCGACAGTAATCCCAGGACCTACCAACTGTATTTATTGTAGATACGTTTTTCGAATTTTCCCGACAGTAATCCCAGGACCTACCAACTGTATTTATTGTAGATACGTTCATCGAATTTTCCCGACAGTAATCCCAGGACCTACCAACTGTATTTATTGTAGATACGTTCATCGAATTTTCCCGACAGTAATCCCAGGACCTACCAACTGTATTCATTATTCCTGTACATTGATTGTGATCTGTTCTTTGTCTGTTTGTCTATTTTTTACCGAGTCGCCAACGGCGAAAGCAGGTCTAGTCTTAACCGATCGACTCCGTCCGTCCGTCCAAAAAGACCTTGGAAAGAAAACTTTACAATTCGTCAAAATTTTCTTGGCTTCTGTGAAAAAGTATAGATTTATTCTTGGTCGATCTGTAGATTGATAATGTTTAATTGTAATGTATATATATATATATATAAGCAATTCTAAGATCTTCCGTGCTGCCACTTCCTGTTTGCTGATAGTTTAAAATTTTACAACACCCATTGTACACGGAAAATTTTTGTTAATATTTTCATGGCTTGAATTGGTGTGTCTATGGAAGAGAGTAATTTGATATTTGGCATGAAGCTTTATAATGTTAATTTGTTGCGTGTGAGCAATTGCCACTTCCTGTTTGCCAATAGTTGGAAAAAATACTAATTGTTCAAGAAAAATGTTTGACAAAGTTTTCTTGGCTTCAATGAAAGGGAATGATTTATATTTGATATTTCATCAGACATGCTTTAGAAAACATGTCTATTTCAATCGCACGAAGCGACGCGGTTCCAGACCCGGTATTAGTCTTGTTTCTTCAAGCCATGGTTCTTGTTGCCTTTCTTCGATTTCTAGCTTTTGGTTGACCCATACATGGTTTTCTTTTCACCTTTTGTTGTATATTAATAGATGAAGAGTTAACATCTAATAATAAATTAATTGGATTTCACATTATCCTTATTTCTAAAGTATGATTACATTTATTTTTGGAAAAAAAGGGGGCAGGGGGTTAAAATAGAAACAACAGTTGTCTTCTTATAAAAGTAGATAGTACAATATTAGACCTTATTATATACATGTGCTAAGCAAATTTATGGCTAGTTAATTAATCCGAAGACGAATGAATTGCTGTTTTCCATGCAGACTGATGTGACGTGAATACGTTATTATATATCATTTTATAGTTATTTAAATCAAGTACAGCAAAACGAAAGCCATTTGGGAGTATTTTGTACCTCTCAGACATGAAAACATAGTGGCGGATCCAGGCGGAGGGGGTTCCGAGGTTTGGAATCCCCCCTTTTTTTGACGATCAATGCTTTAAAATTGGGACATATGGTTGGAACCCCCTTTCTATCCTGAGTAAGAACCCCCTTTTAAAAATGGCTGGATCCGCCCCTGAATCTGGAACAAAATTCTATATCCCGATGTACCTGCGGGAATATGTTTGAGGTCCCCCTCTAAAAATCCAACCTAGGGGTATAGAAATCCAAATTTCTTCGCATGAGAGGTTTTACTCCACTGCAATTTATTCTTGTCGGAATTGGATCACAAGCATAGAGTAAAGCCCTATGTGCACGTTACATTATACTTTTAACAAATCTTTGAGTGGTCAATAGTTGACCATTTGAAAGTCTGACCTTATCCACCCTGTCCTCATTTTCAAATGGCAGTAAAAATATCACTCGATCTATTAATACCCTATTTGTAGAGCCTCCCTATTGCAATTATTAGTGAAATATTTGACACTGGACGTTAAGCAAACAACAATGTTGATAGTTGCTGTCTGTCATGTCTGTTTTTAGTTTATTGTATTCGTCACAAATCAAATCAAGCCGTTGGTTTTCTCGTTTGAATTGTTTCACATTTTTAATGTCGGTATGCGATATTGCTTTTTCTCATGGTTGAAGGCCGTACCGAAAGATGACTTATAGTTGATTACATCATCCATTGTCCATGTCATTTCGACTATGATAGATTCTCGAGTATAGATTTTTCTCTAATTGGCAATTATACCATGATTTAAACATGTTAAAGCATGTTGAACCATATTCAAGGCATTACAACTTAATATGTACAATTATTAGATGTATGATAAATATGAAATAGATAACTAGACAGTACAACTAGCTTAAAACGATCTATCGCGTGATACTTCACCACGAAAGGTCACACTATGTAGCTTCAACCAAAAAATGTGTTTTATTTATCAATATCAAGAATACCGTGTATTGAATTTCACACAAGTTTTTTATAATCTACGTAAGTGGAAAACAACTTAGTGATATAAATATGTAAGGGGGAAAACTCTATATTATTATCACAATCACATGATTTCGAGTTTTGAAAGACGTTTTTGGTAAGTCTGTACACTATTAACGCTTTAAGTATTATTCGTCGTTTCTGACAGAATGAACAAGACGGCGGAATTATATTTTAGAAAATCACATCAGTATTTCATCCAAATATGTCAGTTAAAACACAATAAATCCAGGTAAAAATACACAACTGTAGGAATGAATGTAAATTGTCGGCTTGTCGTATTGATCCTAGTTAATGACGGATAGGTCACTCACTTAACTATAAAAGACACGTACAACAAATGTTTTATTTTTAGATAAAATATTTATTTTTAATTTTAGATAGGGTTTTACCAGCTACCGGTACGGCATATGCGATAGGTAACCAAGTTCAAAAAGTTAACTGCTGTACACAATTGCAAAATCCATTGTTTTGCAATAGTAATCGAAAACGCAGACACATCTGATGTACATAATAGAATTTGTATGCCCCCGCCGTGGTGAAGGGGGCATGCAGTTTTACCCTAGTCCGCTTGTCCATCGTCCGTATGTCAAACAATTAGTTTCCTTTCTTTGAATTTAGTTTCCCTCAACCACATGTTATAAAGCTTATACACAATGCTTATTACCACTAAACACAGATCTATTTGAATTTGGGAGGCGTCACTTTCATCGTTCTCGAGTTATGTCCCTTTATACATGGAAAAATAGCATAATTTGTCGTTTCCGCACTCTAACTTTAGTTTGCCTCAACCAAATGTGAATACACTTTTAATTAAATGCTTATTACCATCAAACACAGATCAAGTTAGAATTTTGGTGGCGTTGCATTCACTGTTCTGTAGTGATGTCGCTTTGTTAATTGAAAAATTGCAGAATTTGCTGTATATTTTCAAGCGGGGGTATCAGTGTCCCATGGACACAATATTCCATTTTTTTTAAAATAGCAATCGGGAACACTATTACATTGTATCTGCCTGTAATACGGTTTGATACTTTTAATCTTTAATTACTATACAGGAGGGTCTGGATGGGGTTAACAGAATAGAGAATAATGGGTAAAATGTGCTGAATAAATGGCCAAAAAAAGAAAAGAAAGAAATTGAAAGAGAAAAATAGGGTAAACAAATATGACAGACATAAACCAACAACAACTGTTGCAAAAAACAGGACTCAATAGATTGTTCCGAGGCACAAAAACAAGTAACATAAACACTTAGCACCAGATAAATAACTGTTTTGTGTTTTCATGTCTAAAACATTGCTCCGTGTTGAAGGCCGTATCTTGACCTATAATGGTTTACTTTAATAAATTGTTACTTGGATGGAGAGTTGTCTCATTGGCACTCTTACCACATCTTCCTATAGCTATACACGACAAAATGAATAAGGGGGTCCTTAACTATGACCTAAAAAATCAAAGAATACAGAAATGAAGGACGCCCTCCCCCATCCAGACATTCTTACGATAAAATAAGTTAAAGTTGTCTACTTTAACAAGAAATCTGGCCTTTGTTAGGGAGCTACCATTTGATTTTCATGGGGGGGCTAGGATGAAAAATTTTGTCCTACATTTAATTTTTAGTTGTAATCTATCGGTCGTGCCTTTTTTTTATTTTTTTATACTGACTTGTTTTACATAAATTGTCATCCTGCCTTTTTTTTGCTAAGTTGCTCATCCTGCCTTTTTTTACTCAAAATCCTGTCGTGCCTTTTTTCACCCCCCCCCCCTTTTCCCCCCTAAAATTCAAATGGTAGCTCCCTTAGTGTTGTATATGCTTTTCAAATTCTTGTTTATTTATATGTTTCGGAGTTTAGTGAGTCGTCCATTTTCGATGAACTAATACACATTTTTTGTGTATGGGCCAGCTGAACCCCGCCTCCTCCTGGTGCGGAATTTTCTCGCTGTGTTGAAGACTCATTTATGGCTTTTGGCGGTTTTTGCTCATTGGTCGGGTTGTTGTCTCTTTGACACATCCCCTGTTTCCATTATCAATTTCATTAACAGAGTTTAGTAGTCTTTTTTGTGCTAGAACGGTCACATTTACGTCTATTGGTCTCTGTTAATTGTCCAATTGTCTCATGTGTTTTCAAACACTAACTTCTTATTTTTACAGAATGAGTGTTCACCGTTTTTTATTACAAACTACAATCTTAGGTCAAAAGTGTTTTTCCAATCCGAAATTCCCCAATTATTTCATATGCAAACACATTGTTTTAAAAACACTATCGAATACTTATTTGAGGTCCGATTTTGATGAAATTTGTAATGTTAAACTCATAAAATGTATGTGTACAGTTTC